TTTAAAACATTGGCTATACCTAATGTTCTAATTACTTGATTCTAGTTAAGAAAAAAATGAGGGAAAAAACAAAAGAACACTCCTTTCTGCTTTTATACGTACCAACATAATGTCCTTGGATCACTTGATTGCAGCATGTAGACATGTTTGCTACTAATTGCTTGTTCTCTTATACAGCTTGAACATAAGGTATCTTCAGCCACTCAGCTGCTTTTTTACTCTGCTTCCTAGACTAGTATGCTAGCCTTCTAATTGTAAAACTTCAATGCAGGTTGACAAATTAGAGTGACTCAGGGTCAGGGAGAGGATGATTAAAGGGCGTGAGCTTTTCCGCTACTGATTCCGCAGAGTTTTTCATTGTAACGATACCCATTGTAAGATCTTTTGAAAACGTGATTTGATACGGTAATAGTTTAATATGTTATGAGTTCACTTTGATAGAGATCAGTTTACATGATTTATATTCTACAATGTAAAATTTAAACTTCTAAAAAGATGCATCATGCGCTTGGAAGTTGGCTAAATATTTTCAATGTTCACAATTTTTTTTCTTCTTGTTGCCCAGGTGATGGCAGTCAGTGAGTCATAGGTTGCATGGCTCTTTGAAGAAGGAAAGCGTGTGTTGGGTAATTGGGTTAGACTTTGTTGGGTTGGGGTTGAGTTTTTCACAACCAAGCTGAACCTCTGACCAAACTTATAGGCATGAAAAAAAGATAAGTTGATGAAGTGATCTTAAACATAGACTGAGTATCAGGATGTAATCATGTAGGACTTGTAGATGTTTTCTTATAATGGGTAGTTAGAGCATAAGGCTTATAATGTTCAATTTTCAAACTTATTTATGTAATGTGCTAATTTGTAAAGGAGAACAAATAGTTGAATTTTGAGAACAACTCTGCATAGATTGCATTAAGATCAACAGTGTGTGTTGGGAAATTGGGTTAGACTTTGTTCACTGCCAAACCCTAAACCAAATCTCTCCTACAAGATACATCCTATAATCCTGGTGCAAATGGGATACCGGTGGATGGCAGCCATGAGTTCCCACCAATAAACTTAGCCACCGTAAAGTAATCGGCCTTGGACTCCTCGGTTTCAATGCTACAATACTCGAACGAGAACCCTGTCGAGTCTTCTGCAAAACGACCACTAGCGGTGAGTGTGTTTTGTTGGCCTTTGATGTTTTTCCTGGCAACAATTTTAGAGCTTTGGAAAACCGCCGTGCCGTAGCCGAAGATAAAGTGGATGGTGCTGCTTGCACCGGTGGAAAGCAGACTGGTCGCCGCCGACTGAAAGCGCAACTGCCTCCCTATTGTTTGGTCCTGCAGTGTTCTCAAATCCTATGTCCATTGCAATGAATCCTTGGGCCCTTACATCTACTTGAGCAATCAATGAAAGTTAATTAAAATGGGGCATGTGTTATCTTACTTTGATATTTAGTCTTGCAAAAGAAAATAATGGGAGACATCATGCATGCGCGTCTTCAGCTGTAGGAATAAAAAAGAAGAAAAGCTTTTGGTTGGACCAGCAGACAAAGAAGAATTTTTTTTTTTTTTTAATAATAAAAAAAGGGATGCGCATGCTTTTCCTTTTCATATAATATAGATATAGGCTTTAAAATACATAATACATAGATATATATATATATATATCGTTTTAGCATATACAGTACATATATATGGAGGACTATAATTTTTGTTGTGCCTGCCAAACTTTTGGGCCAGTGTCGTTGCCCTGTTCGCCTTGGATCAAGACCGGGCCTGCATTTAATTTTGGTTGATCCAAATTACATCCTTCGAAGAAAAAAAAGTTAAAAAATAAATAAATAAATAAAACATGCCTAGGTCTTTTTTTTTTCTTCCTGAGTTTAAAGAAAACCTACATCTATAACGTGATGATCAGAGCATATACGTGTACAAAAATCAATGCTGCGGATGAAACCATTTCTTTGTTTGGGTGGTTGTTGCTGTATAAGCAAATGCTCTGCGATGTCATTTCTCGTAATTGTCTCACTTTTCCGTTCCTTATAAAAGAATGGCGGCCCGGGCTAGAGCTTCCATGCACAAGTCGTTAAGGATGATGTTTTGTTCAAAATTCGTTGATTGGTATGGACTCTGTGTGTGGGTTTCTGAATAGTGCACGTACATTGTTTGATGAAATGTTGGAAAGGCAGGGGTGTTGTTTTGTGGAACTCGATGATTAAGGAGTATTTGCAAGAAGTGGGAATCTTGATGAGGCATTGAATATGTTTGGAAAGATTAATAACAGAAAATTATTTGGAATTCCATGATTACAGGGTTTGTTCAAGATGGTCGGCCATGTGAGAATGTGAAGGTAAAGAGTCCCACATTGGAAAGTTGAAAAACCTAATAAGAGCTTATAAGGAGTTGGGCTACTCCTCTAATTGCCAATTGGTTTTGGGGTAGAACCTTAACTTCCTTCAGGCCAAAGGAGGCCTTGGAACTTTTCCATGACATGCACATCACCAGTGGTGATAGAGTTAGACCGGATAAGATCACAGTTGCCAGTGTCCTTGCAGCTTGTTCTCATCTTGGTGCAATTTGATCATGGAATATGGGTGCATGGGTACCTGAGGAGAAGTGGCCTAGAGAGTCATGTGGTCAGCTCTGATTTCAGTGTTGGCTCTCCATGGATTTGGCAATGAGAATTTTGGTATTTTTAGACAGATGGAAACAATTTGGGTGAAGCCGAACCACATGTGACATTTTTTGGGCTATTGTCAGCTTGTGCTCATTCTGGTTTAGTAGAGAACGGTCGCTGGTGTTTTGATGTGATTAAGCGTAGGTTTACTTAATTGAACCGCAGCTCTATCACTATGCAAGCATGGTTGATATGCTTAGTCGTGCCGGGCTGATTGAAGAGGCAGAACGGTTTATAAGAAGCATGCCAATGAAGCCATATGCATTTGTTTACTCGGAGGCTGTCAAATACATGGAAAGGTCGAGTTAGGATGAAGGGTGGCGCAATATTTAATTGATTTGGAAACTCTGAACTTGAACTTGTGTGATATATATGCCAAAGCGAATCAAATCCATAATGAAAGAAAGAGGGATCGAAAAGGAGGTCCCTGGCTGTAGCATGATTGAAATTGATGGGGTTGTTCTTGAATGCTCTGCAAGCATCCTGAAGTACAAGAAAAGGTTGCAAAGGAAGTTAGAGAAGCAACAAATGTGGAAGACAAAATGCATTATCTGGTTGCTGCCTTAACTGAGACAATCAGGCTCTATCCTGCAGTTCCATTGATAAGTTTGACATCTTAAATCTAAAGCATGAATGCAGTTAATGTCCAAGCACAATTGCTATTTCAAGCTTATATAAGTAGCACTCCCTAGTTTTTATGAATTTGAATCGTTGATATTACTTTTTAACAAGTTTCGGTAATGTTGGCATAAAATGCGAAGATTTGCTTATCTAATGATACATGGCCAGAATGAAAGGGGATATGGTGAGATAACACACTTATGGCATGGCAAGGATGAAATTTCTATTGGGTGATGATGCAGAAGAATTTTGGCCAGAGAGATGGCTTGACGAAAATGGCCTTTCTACCTTTAAAATTTCAACCAAAATTCAGTTTCGAGCTGTATAAGAAAGAAGAGATGAAAGTTGAGCAATATATAAAGGGGATTCTCTACAAAAGAGATTTTGAGTATATACCTGTGGTTATATTCCCTTTAGGATGTTCAAAATTTTGGCTAGTTTTCAAAAAAATTCCTTCAGTATATTTCTCCCCACTGAAATCCAATCATCTTCTTATTCTCGGAACAAAAAGCTCAACTTTTGTTCAATTTCTTGAAATCCAAGATACCTAAAGATAGATAGGCTTTACCTGTGAACGTTTCAACTTTTCATTACCAACTTCACTATATGACTCCAAAACTTACAACCCTATATACCAGTTGAATATGAAAATCCACAAATTGAAGTTTAGAATGGAATGGAGTGGTAAAATAAGGAGACAAATTTTGCACTATTAGAAGGAAGAAGAGACAAATTTTTTTTAATTAATTTTTTCATAAACGTTAATTTCGGGATTGAAACATGGTGTTTGCTTAATGTGGGCATTTTTCCTTTTCACAATTCTCATGTGTTCTCAACATAGATCAAAGAAATTGCAACGTGTTAGTTTTTTTTAGTACAAACAATAATTTGAATTATAAGACAAACGGGGGTTGCTCACACACACACACACACACACACACTATCAAGGTGGGATTTCAAACCTAAGACCATTGATCTACAAGTAAAGACCCTTTTTCACTAGTATAAATGTAACATGACGAAAATAAAAAGAAAACGAAACTCACAATCATTTTTGTTTGTATTGGAGTTTTGTATTTTAGACCACATTGACCATATTTTAGTAATTGTGTTAAGTAATTTTGGTCACTGCAGTAATTAATTAGATAAAATTTAAAATTTTGAATTAGGAAACCAATCCGTTTGTTTTCAGGAGAAAAGTTGTTGGGAGATTGAAAGACTGCCTTATGAGTTTCTAAAACTAAACTTCTATTTTAATTTTCGTGTTTATTTGATAGATAAATTGAGTCGAAGTACTTTTAGCATTAGAACTTATTTGACTTCTTGAAAAATCAAATCTTATAGACATGATCAACCCTTGAGTAATACTCATGAATTTGAACAAAGTTTTTGTTGTCCGAAGCCAATTAGGGAAAATTTTCAAAATGATCCTTAAATTGGTAACAAATGTCGTTTAAAATTCATTGCTTTAAAGTAAAGTAAAAGACCTTTCTTCAACAACAAGCCTGGCTGTGGATGGCAACCATGAGTTTCCATCAATAAACTTGGCCACTGTAAACTCATCAGCCACAGACTGTCATTTTACCTATTTAATCGCTTTGGCAATGTTGGGCAAGCAGATTCAACCCAACAATGTATAAATATTTATGTTACTTCTAAGGGTGACAGAAGCACTTCAAACGCTTCTTCTTCCACTTTGAAAACTCTAAAGATACATCCTATAGATCTGCTTTAAATGGGACACCCGTGGATGGCAGCCATGACTTCCCACCAATAAACTTGTCCACTGCAAATGAATCGGCCTCGGAAATCAAATGATAACCCGGCCACTTGACCCGGCCTGCAACCGAGGCACCCGAACCATAGTTCTTGTACTCAGCATAATACAAAGTATCAAGATTATTTTTCCCACTCCATTCCAGCCAACCCTCTGGCCTTATAATGTTACTCATAAAAGACTTGATGAACACGGTACGTGAATATTTGCCCCAAGGTCGACCCAAGTACGTCTTCGTAGAGTTAACATCACCCCCCAAGTCAGAATCTGCTTCAATTCTGCAGAACTGGAACGAGAACCCTGACGAGTCTTCTGAAAGTCGACCATTGGCGGTGATTGTGTTTTGTTGGCCTTTGATGGCTTTCCTGGGAATAATTCTAGAGTGTTGGAAAACGGCTGTGCCATAACCAAAAATGAAGTCGACGGTGCCGCTGATCGTGCATTCTCGGTAGAACTGTCGGCCCGACAACACCAACAATGTGTCCTGGTATCCGCTTATCTTGCACCGGTAGAAAACCGACCGGTCGCTGCCGGATGAAAGTGCAACTGCCTGCCCTTTGCTTGGTCCTGCGGTATTCTCAAACCCTATGTTCATTGCAAGGAATCCTTCGGCCCTTACATCTACATAAGCAATCAATTCACAGAATTTTTAAATTACAAACAAAAAATAATAATTGGTTGTATGGAGTGTCAATTAAATAGAACATTAGGGTCTGACACATTTCGGTTTAGGACTCAAACATGTTATTTAAAAGGCTAAACTGTTGAGGCAATCCAATTTAATACTCTCCACTCCCCTCTCCCTCTCCAACAAATGACCAAAAAAAAAACAGACTAAACTGTTGATTTCCGCCTAAACTTGTACCTAATTTTCGATTGATCCCTTATCCATTTGTTTTTAGAAAATTTAAGGATCTCAGTTTTTTTAGTCAATTTCTCCCTATCATTAAATTTGCTCACATTCAATCCAATTTACTGTTAAAAATGGTCACAGCACAGGCCCAGCCCGCTCCCACCAAGCCCATCCTCCCCTAGCCACCCCATCATACTCCCCCAAACCCAGCATCCCCTCTTTCTCCACCCCGCAAACCACTCCACTCAATGTGCCCATGTAGCCCATGGGTGTCTTGACAAGTTTAGAGGAGATCCTTATAATTGACATCTCCTTAATTTTCTATAAATAAAAAAAGGATTAGGGGTTAAATAAAAAATTAGGTACTAATTTAAGGAGAAATCAACAGTTTAGCCTCCTCCTTTTTTTTCTTTTGTTTTTTTAAAGAAAAAGAAGAAGTTTTGGTGTCTTACCAAATGTTGCTGACTTCATTGTTGCCCAACCACTAGCATTGCTTCTTTCTCCAGATATGGTGGTAACACTCATGCCCTCTCCAATCAACACCAAGTTAGTCTTTGTTTTATCAATCTTCACATATTCTTTGTAAACTCCTTTCTTCACAAATATCACGAACTGCTTCTGGCTATGGCTTGGTGCAGCTGCAATGGCATCCATTATTCTCTTGAATTTCCCACTCCCATCCTGTGAAACGGTGACATCAGCCTTCCGGGAAAGTGCAGGATCATAAGGATCAGGATGTGAAACTGGAGCGGCAGTAGCATTATGACGATGAAGATGATGTTGCTGCTGCACTTGGATCATACCAAGGACCTCATCGACTGATTTTGTCACTTGTCTAAGGCTCTCTGCAACATTTGAGTCGATCATATTTTGAAAAGTGTCCACGCATATCTTTTCTCTGGATTGCGAAGTACTTAGCCATGTTCTCATATGGGAAACGACATCAGCTGTGCCATAGATGCAATAATTTTCTTGTCATTTTAACCCAATAAATATATGTATATATATACATATATGGCATCTATTAAAATAGTTAGACTATAAAAACTAAAATAAGTTTTACATAAACATCATATGTGTCAATGTCACACATCTATAAACTATGACTGTATCCCAATACACAAATCTAAGTAAATATGTACGCGTATATGAACCTTTAAGATCATCAATTGTGGAAAGGGACCAATCCAATACGTCAGCAGTTTCATTAAGCAAATCCTCACAGTACGAAATGACCACAACAGTAGAATTTTCATAATCTTCACCCGCATGCATATGTGCAATGGTAGAGGCCACATTTTGCACAAGTTCCTTGGTCTTCTCCAATGAGTTTTTGAATGCAGGCGACGGAACATTTATCAACTGGGGGTCAATATTATCAGCGCGGGGGTCAATGGAAAGAGAAGAGAAACAAATGATGAAAAAAATGAAATGGGAGGATGACTTCATGAATGGCCTCATGGCACCAGAAAATGTAAATAATGAGAAAAGAGAAGGCAATGGATATGAGTATATATACAGTGCACACCATTTTGTGAGATTGGTTGTATTGGAGAATACGAATTATGGATCATAGTGTGAATATGAGCATCTTTGCACCATTTTTCTTTTCTTTTTTAGAGATTTTGTTTCCTAGATAAACCTAAAACATATCCTTCAAATGAACCAAAGCCAAGGAAAGCATTTAACTTCTTACTTTGCATCAAATCCACCCACTGCACTGAAGATCAACTTGTTTCAATATTTCTTGAAACCCAATGTACCTAAAGACAGAAAGGCATTACCTGTTACCATTTCAACTTTTCATCACCAAGATCACTATTTGACCCCGAAACTCACAGCCCTACGAAATCCAATCCAAAAATCCACACAAAAAGGAAAAAACACAAATTGAAATTTAGTATGGACAGGTAAAATAAGGAGACAAATCATGCACTAACAAAAATCCTGGTGATTATGGGATCCCTGTGGAAGGCAACAATAATCTTTGAAGAATATGATTTATGGATCATTGTATTTATCTTTGGATGACATTTATGGATTATAATATGATATACAATGCACCATTTTTATTTTTTAAAAGATTTGGTACCTATTTACACCTGAAACATATATATATCCTTTCAAATGAACAAAAGCCAGGAAAGCATTTAATTTCTTACTTATGCCACAAAATTTCAGACCCTTAAAATTTCAACCAAAATTCGGTTTCGAGCTCTATCAAAGAGATGGAATTTGAGCACTATATTAAGGTTATATTTTGAGAAAAAAGAAAAAGAAAAAAGGTTTAGAAGTCTTTTAGGATGTGCAAGTTTTTGCTAGTTTTTCAAAAATTTCCCTTCAATATATTTCTCCCTCTCAACTCCACCCATCTTATTATTTCGTGAACTTCACTAAAGCTCAACTTGTTCAATTTCTTGAAATCCAATGTACTTGTGACCGTTTGACCCTCTGAATTTTTCATTACCAAACTCACTATTTGAACCAAAACTTGGCCCTACTCCTAATTCCAATATGAAAAGAGCATGATTTGGCTCCTTAAAATTAAGGAGGAGTTACTCCTTAAAACAAATGGGGTTTTGACACTTATCAAATTCCATCAAAATTAACAAAGTTTCAACGAAAAAGAAAAATGAATATTAAAAAAATTTAACACCTGTTAAAACCACATTGATTATAAGGAGGAGCTCCTCCTCAATTTAAGGATCCATATGAAAATGCACAAAAAGACAAAAACAAAATTTTAAATTTAAAGAAATAATCCACTCTAGCCAACTTGAGTACAGAGTGGGGAGCACATCCACTATAGCTAACTTGGCTAAAGCTCATGTCTGCTCCCTTGTGCATTTTCTAAAACTATATTTCAATTTTAATATTGTCTTTATTTGATATGTGAAATGATAGAGGTCGCGTTTTGTATAGCTTGCATGGTTTTCTCCAATGACTCTTCGAATACAGGCAGAGGAACTTTTATCAAATGATGGAATGGAAGCCAACATTATTAGCACGTGGGTTAATGGACCGAGAACAAAAAGAAATTATGAAAAAGATGAAATGGCAAGCAAGAGGACCTCATGAATGGCGGGCTGATAAGTGTACCAAAAATGAAATGAAAATGATGAGAAACAAAGATAAGATGAATCTCTCTCTCTTATAAGTTATATGCATACATCTATGTCTATGAAAAGAGGTATGCAAAAGTTTTCTTGAGTAAAAGAAATTGCCAAATTTGATAGTTTTTTTTAAAAAAATTATAAATATATATAAAGGGTAAATTACTCAAATGGCCCTCAAACTTATACCTGATTTACATTTTGATCCATCAACTAAATTATTCATTCAAATGGTCCATCAACTCTATATTATTTGCTCCAATGGTCCTACCGTGTAACACCCCGACTCCAAATTTATTCATATTTTAATTAAATTAAGTGAATTATGAATCTACCCTTGGGTTAAAGGTAATTTTGGTCATTTTCTTATCCGGAAGGATTTTGCGACAACGAGTGGTTTAGTTGCGTAGGTGGTACTGAGACAAATCCGTAGACTTGAGGCAGGCTTAAATCGGAGTTGTAATGAAGATTTTGCGATCAAAAGTAATTCGGTGGCAAAACGGTAATTATATCAAAAAGGGTTAGAGTGAAAATCAGATTTTTCACTCTTACCCTACATTCTCTCTCTCCTCGCGCTGAAATCCCCTCCCCGACTTTCGTTTTCGCCGGAATTTCAGACTGCAAGAACTCCTCCGTCCGACCTCCATTTCAAGTGCCGTCACTTGCAAAAGCTTCCTCTCTTCCTCCTCTACCCAGCCCACCCATTTTCTTTGATAAAAAATCCGGCAAGCTGCAGTGGCAACGACGTGAAGTTTCAGCCAAAACTGTCAACGTCATCGGCAACGTTTCCGGCCATCGCAAGCTACACCGTAGCCCTCCTCTCCTTCTAGCTATTTCCTAGGTTGTGTGACAACAATGGTGACGGTGGTTGCCGGATCGAAGCCGTGAAGTTCCGGGTTAAACCGTGAGTTTCCGGCGCCGATTCTGGCCACTTGCGGTCCGAATTGGACTTGGCCGTAGTTGAATGAAATGCTCCACTCGTTGAGTATAACCTGTAGCCGGGAGGGTGGCTGGTGATTTGGGGATTTTCCATCGCCGGAAATTTCTCTACACACCCACGCGCTGCCGGCGCGTGTAGCAGCGCGTGGGCAAGGGTGATGGAGCTGCAATACGTTCTGATGAGATCCTTAGGTTGTCACGAGTGCGTAGGATTTTGCGGATCTCAATTCGGATGTCGTTTGACTATCGAACGGATTTCGCATATTGTGTGTTATCCGGGTTCGATAGGTTCTAACCGTTGGATCGTTTCCAAATTGAAGTATGTTGATCTAGGCACTCTTAGAATCCTATAGGAATTCGCGGATCATGAATCGGAGCCCCGGATGTTCCAATTCAATAATACAAAGTTTGTGGGTTAGCGTTAACCGTTCGATTGTAAGCGATTTCTAAACCTGTAACCGGACCTTAGGATATCCCATTGGACGTACACGCACCGGGAACTTGGGGATTTAAGTATTTTCTTTTGTGAATTTCCATTTCGAAGTGCGTGATATTAATTAAGGGTTCATATCTCGAAATAGGTGCTCCGGTCGATCGTACGTAGCAGGCAGGACCCTCTCGGGGCCGGGCAGCTTGGGATTACCTGTGAGTGGACTTTGTTTTCAAGAATACGCATGGTTTTATGGATAAAAGATTTGCGCATATGTTTTAAATGATATATATGATTTAATAATTATTTGGTTCATGAATTTGGATATTCTTATACGTATTGGCAATATATGTTGGGTATGGCTATATTTAAGTATTGTGAATATGTTTATATGGATTTTGGGATGTCTATCTATATTGCCTATGTATAGAGTATGAGGGGTTGTGGATGTGAGTGAAGAAAAGATTTGAGTTTGAGGGATGGTTGAGAGATGTATGAGTATGCTAGATGAGTATCATCCCCTGGTTACTAGGCTTCCCACACGTCGTTGGCAGTGCCGGTGGGGTGGGAAGGCCATGAGATTATGGGTCTCACACGTGTCGTAGGCAGTGCCGACGTGTGAGACACTTCCTATACGTGTCGTTGGCAGTGCCGGCGTATGGGAAGAGTATGTATATTGCTTGATTCATCACACATGTCGTTGGCAGTGCCGGTGTGTGATGATGTCGTCTGCGTGCGTAGGACTTGTTATTGGATATGTGAGCTACACGTGTTGTTGACAATGCCGGCGTGTGAGCTATGGAGTTCCGTCCCCTGGTTGGACTACTCATCCCTGAACGCGGGTTACTTCCTGGAAATCCTGCGTACTAGCCAACAATCCCCCGGTTGGATTGTTTCCCCGATACATTAGAGGGAGAGAAGTATATGTTATATTTAGATAAGTATATATATATATGTATATATGTATGTAGAGGTTGGGTAACAGCTGCATAATTTTGGGAATGGGGTTGTGGTTTGAGAATTTGAGGGTTAATGGATTTTTGAGAATAATGTTTTTGAGTGTTAATGGATTTTTGAGAATAATGTTTTTGAGTATTTGGTTTATGATCTGTGAAACTGCATGCTTGGGCATTATTTTTACACGGTGGGGTTATTATGTTGTTTTAAATGCAAACTTTGTTTTTTGTCCACTCACATTTTTCTGTTTTGCGCTCTCCAGGCAGTAGTTGCTCTTGGAAGCTTTCAAGCAGTGTTCGAGATCAAATCGTTCCATCCGTAGTTAGGACTTGTGTAAATTCCTTCTACTCAACTGTTGTTGTAAACTAATTCTGTTAGATGCTCTGTTATCGCCCATGTTAGGTTGTTACTTGAGGCCGGAGGCCACTTTAGTTTGGATTATTTTATGTTGAAAGCATGCTGGCAGTTGAGATTTATATTATGTAAATTATGCAGGTTGAATGTTGTTGGGTTTATGCATATTACAGGAGAGACTGCCATATTTTTGGTAGAAAGTCTCGGTTTTTAGTAAGTGGGCCTGGCATCGGGGTGATGTCGGCACAAAGACAAGGTCGGCCCTAGTTTCGGGGGAAATTCCAGGGCGGGTCCTGTCATACTGTCTAATTTTCTGTTAGATTAAACTTAATTTTAGGATAAATAATGACCAATTTTCCCTAATATTTAATGAAAATATTGACAGAATGTAACGATAGGACCAATGGAGTGAATAACATAGAGTTGATGGACCATTTGAAAGAATAATTTAATTGAGGGACCAAAATATAAATTGAGTATAAGTTTGAGGACCATTTGAGTAATTTACCATATAAAAAATACACGTTTCTAATTAAAAACGAAAGCATTTAATTAATTTTGTAGTTACAAAAATAAAAAAATGAAATTGACAATAAAGACCCAATTATTTTTAAAACTTGTAGCTTAAATCAATGAACCTGAATCAATTAGGAAATTGACAAAATACATAGTAGAAAAACTTGATATGTAAAGTCAATTGTTACTTGTGAATCGAAAAATGTGATATTTAAGTGATGTTTTGATCCACTTTATAAAGTTGTGTTAATTACATATTTATTGTTTCTTTTATGTTACAATTGTGAATTTGAGTTCATACAATATTTTCAGAGCAAGCAAACCTCTCTTGTATCGGTATATTTAGCCATTTTATACCATAATTTCTATAATAAAGAAAAGGGGAAAAAATTGTAATAAAAAGAAGCTTCTCTATTATCTCGCCTGTCATTTTACCTATGCTTTGGCAATGTTCGGCCAGATTATTCAACCTAACAATGAATAAATTTGTATGTTACTTCTTTTGGGAACTTTGAGGGTGATATATGCACTTCAAACGCTTCCACTTCGCGAGTCTTGAGAGCTGCAAAAGAATGGTGTGCTGATTGTTGATCTCTGATATCTCACTTCTTCTGAAAGGTCACCATGCAAAAGAATGCTACGGCTCGACTAACTATACCGATGAACGTTAGGATGATTATACAAAGATTCCAATCATGAAGATTATAGCCACTTTTCAAAAGCGACCCGCACCGCGTTATCAGCCATACTCCAGAATACCTATAGAAAAAAAGGGGAATAGTAGATAATCCAGATCAAAATAACAATTCAGAACAATCTACTAGTAGTTATTGTTATAGTTATTAAATTTTTAGCAGAAGCCAACACTTCCATTTCAGTTCTCGGATTTACGAAGTTAGACTCTTTGATGAGCAGATTGCTAGATTAAGGGGTAAAGTTTTCACTTTCAGTAGGTAATAGTATTCTAATCATTTTATAGGGAAATTGGCGCAGTACCTTTCAGCATTTGCAATCACAAATGCTTCTAAAGCCCACCTAGGGTAGCAGAATTTAGCTAAAATCTTTAGAAATTCACTATCTTGTGGCCGTGTTGCTATAAGAGTCATCACAACTGGAAGAAGGACTGACGACTGCAAAGAACAGCAGTTTGTCAGTAAATATCAATGGAATGTGAAACACTGAACGAGCAGTTGACAATCTTTTAATTGAGCATTTCGATTACTTACCAGCTGGGCTGCACCTTGTTCAAAAAAGATTGCTAAAGCATAAGCTATACCAGTTACACAATACACAAGGCAGAGCAGAACAATGTAGTTATCAGCAAAGCTAGATCTTGGGTTGGTAAAGAAGTAGAACATGGACAGATACACTACAGGTTTGATCAGTGTATTAAAATGGTCAATTGTATCCTTAGCGAGAAAATAAGCCAAGCTGCTCATCCCAGAAGCGCTCTCTCTCCAATAGTGTAATCTGTCCAGAGAAAATGACCTCAAAGCCGCAATTTTACACAGTAGAGCTGAAATCGCAACAAGACACATGGTAAGGAAGAAAAAACTTTATGCATATTCATAATGGAATGGAAGTAGAGTTGGCATTAACTATTATATTGATCCATCAAAGTCAAAATCGACATCAAAATATAATGTAAGTATGCATCTTTTAGGCAGTAGTATGTAGTTTTTTATATTAATCAGTAAGACAATATGAATTTCTCTTATAGGAAAAATACCAAAAGACAGATTTACAGTTCTGTGCCCAAGGAGAGAGATTAACTACGGAGACTAAGCTGCCTCCTCACCACGAGGATTTGATCCATCTTTCATACTGACACCCGGATATACTATATTTACTAAACTACTTGTAACTTTGAGCTTCTCATGTGTAGATAAAGAACGAAACTTAATAACTTATGATTGATTGTACTTACAAACTGCAATGATAGTATAAGTATAACCAACTGCACCAAAGGTCTGATCGCTCACGTTAGCAAGTGATCCTAAGCAGGCTCCAGCAAGTAATAAAATCAAATAATCGACTGCTTGTATACGAGCTTCCCGAAGTCTCTGCTTACCAACTCTGACATGACATCAATATAGAGAATATCAAACTCTTGGCAATAAAAGAAAAATTGTAATAAATAAATTAAACGAAGATTTCAATAAACCAATTATCTGAAGAAAAAAAAAATTGTAAAATTTGAATGCACCTGTACTATCTTGATTGTTTACCTGCCCAGGAAGTATCTGTATTGTTGAAATAAACCTGGAGTTCTCCGGTTTGATAAATCCTTGGACTTCAGGAAATTGAGCCGTATCTTATCACGATGCAGTTCCACAGTACCTTTCACATCTTGCCATAACTCTCCAGCAAAAGACTGTTCCGCTGTTCCAGCACCAGAAGGATTTGTTTCATGATTTAAATTTTCATCCGTTGAGAACAATTCAAGTCTAGTGGCATTCTGTCTCATATCAGGGGGTACTGAGTACCCATTATGAAGCATCCATCTGACGGGAAGCTCTTCATAACTAACTCCCGAGCTTCTTTCTGTTGCTACCATACCCTCCAAAATGTCAATGAAGTGGTCTGGAGGGTTGACACGGTCTGGGACTTTGATCCCAAGGCCTGCAAAGTATTCTTCTACTTTCTTTGCTGATCCATGATAGACAGTAAGACCACCTTTTGCCAGGAGTACCAAATCATCAAACATCTTGAACAACGCATAGCTGAAGCAGAAATTTTTTGCATTAATGAATTGCAGAGAGTACTTATCCTATGAAAGAACACACTTGATCATATATGATGAGTTCTATATCTCTTTAACCAAGGGTATGCATTAAAGCTTCTTGGAACATTCAAGGATCCAACAATAAGTAGAAAGAGTAATTTTATACATGCCTCAACTTTACAGAGCATGTCAATTCATGCTGTAAAATAAATCCCAGTAGCTAGCACTAAAACTATGCATATCATCATTGAGAAAGTAGGCCCACCAGCGTAACAAACATAAAATATTGCACAATAATAGGTAGTATTTTTATAAAAATGCTGAACAGGTAAATTTTGCGTTTTTAGTAAGACCCAAGGGCCCCATTCCACCGACCTTTTTTTGTTCCTATACATTATTCAAGCAAAAAATATCAAAGAATACAAGAATGCAATGCACATTGAAAGATGGTGAATTTTCAAAGCATAAAGACCTTGTTTGGAAATGTTACCTAGGCTGGTGAACCACCATGCAGATGTTTACCCCTTCAAGAGCTTCCCGTCTAAGTGCTCTAAGAAGCAGCTGAGAAGAGGCACTGTCTAAACAGATGTGGGTTCATCCAGAATCAAAAGTGAAGGTTCCATAACCATTTCTAAGCCAACATTTACACGTTTCCTCTGGCCTCCAGAAATTCCTCGCTTCTCTACTGTTCCAACCAAAGAACCACGCACTTGCTGAAGCCCCAAGGACTCAATAACTCTTTCAACCACTAAAACTTTATCCGGTTCTGGTAAGTCCGCAGATAACCTTCAAAAATTCGAAGTTCACCATAAAAAAGTAGCAACAGTCGATACGGTAAGATTGACATACAAAATTTTTGGACATACAAATACAATATCCAAACAATGACCCTCTTTTGGTTCCACTTTCTATACCTCTAGCTATATCAGAAAGGAAAAGGTTTCAACCAGGAATAAATAAAAATGTGAAACCTTTTTTAACATTGAAAGTACTAACTATTCAAATTAGTAGTTTAAACCATGCTCTTTTATGGGCTATTATACTTGTTATTGTGAATTACAAACTGGCATTCAGAACATGAAGCAGGAAACACATATGTTTGCAGAAAATTCATACAATGCTACAAAGGTTGTGTGGGGTTCATGAATTTTGCATCATCACTTCATTGTAAACATTTCAGTAGCATTTTGACAATAAACTATAACAATAAATTTATAAAATTGTAGCAAAGATGACTAACATGTGAATAGAATATTTTCTGTTGGAGTGGAATCTGTAAAGAGCTGTATGTGGCATACCTGCACTTCGCACTGAACCATAAATTCTCTTCCACAGTCAAGTTTCCATGCACAATATCATCTTGTGGCACAAAACCTATGATTTTCTTATATGAATGGATTGATATATTCTTTCCATTTATAAGAATTAAACCAGTCATATTGCATCCAATTGCTTTTCCGGCTAGGGCAGAAAGAAAAGTCGTTTTTCCAGCCCCTGATGGACCCATGACAGCAGTAATGCGGCCAGGCCTAATTTTACCAGTAACACACCTCAATAGATGCTTGTTTTTTGCTTTCAAAGTAAGTGTTAGGTCTTTGAAAGAAATCTCAATCAGAGGCCTTTTCCTTATTTCATGATTAGTAGCCATTTTAACCACCCCTGAGAAGGTAAGGTCCTTGTACTCTTGCTGCTGAGCCTTCTCTTTCTCAAGTTGAGCATAAGCATACTTGAAAATTTGGCTATGAGTATTGATTTGTTTTCCTTTTGGCACATTTCCTACATTTGTATCCTCAGCTCCAATACTGAAACCTTCATAACAATCAGGATCCTCTTCAATTTTATGCATAATCTGCATGAGCTCACTAGGTTCCTTTTTCTTTCCTTCTGATGGCACAGGTGAGGACAAAGAGACACCAGATGTACTTGGATGTGGTGATATCGGAAGTCCATCATCTATGTCAGGTTTAGACTGATTTAAAATCTTAAGTTTCTCAGGATCTGGGGTGTCCTTTTTCCGAGAAAATGTACGTGATAAATGAGCTTGCAATCCACTTGCATGCTTCTTAGCAGCATCTTTTGCAGATTTCCATCTTTGTTGTGCTTTTGCTGTTTCCCTTGCACTTCTGGCTGCTGCTTCTCGGGATTTGGCCAGTCTCCTCCCTCTAGTGGTGAGAACTTGATCAGAACAATTGTAAATAATAAGTAGCAGAGTACTCAGAGCTGCCTGCATAAGAAATGAAGAACATAAGTATGTTTCACAAAATTAAAATATGTATAATATAGAAAGTCAGTAAGACAAAAAACAGGAGTTTTGGAATATATCAGATAGGCACTTTCATTAGGATAAGCAGAGTGTGCTTTAAATGAAAGATCAATGTGAGACTGAACCCTGTTGAGTTTTTGTTTCTATAAAGTGGCCAACTTACAATAAGCATTATTCCATATGCATGCATATTTTGATTTGCAGTGCTTGGATTGCAGGAAGTCAATGCGAAGCAGCCTGTAGCATAAAACAATGAATGGTCAGCTGCTTTATGCAGAAAGTACTGGATAAACTACAGTCCAAATTCCAGGTTAGAAGGAAAAGGGGCGCAATCGCTTACAAAAATGCTGCAATTGAGAAATAGATTGAAATACAACTTACGTTTCTCAGATGTAGAACCCATTCTGCAGTAGTGTCTGCAATTGGATGAACAAATATTTAATAGGAAGAACATATAATATGAAGGAAGTAAGGACAAATTGCATGCCTCGTATATAATTCAAGAATATGATGAGCACACAATTAACTAAAAATTGAACAAGTTTGATAAGTGATGTAGGGAAGAACTTAATACCCACTACTACAAGGAATTCTTTTCACGGTGGTTGGACAATATGATCCAGCTGAACAAAATACTTCACTACTACTACCAACATCAGCCCATATATTTGCTCCTCCACAAGTATGGTTTGGTTTCCCTGGAGGTAGTTGGTAAATGTATCTGCAAAACCACATCAAAATATAGTTTTGACACATTATAGGCTGTGTTGAACAGCATAAATAAAGTGATCATTAAAGCTAGAATCTGAACTTACGGTTCACACACACCAGTTGTTTTGCTCAGAGTTGCCATGGGACAATAAGAACCCGATGGGCAAGCTTCAAGAAATTGGAAGAAAGCAAAGAAATAATCAGAAGCATCCTATAATCAAGGAAAATACATTACATAGAAACAAAGTACCACTTAATTACTGGGAGATATTGATTAAAAGGCCTTAAAGTAAAACAATACATCATCAACACCATACTCTGTCCTTTCTCAGAAGATTATTAAGAAAGAAAACACTAAAGGATTTAAATTACTTACGTATCATGCATGTGATGCCATGGGGACAGAAGAAACCCTCACAACATGGCTGGCAGGTCTGAGTCCTGGCAGGGATGTCCTGTGAATTTTCTAGATCAATCTGCTGATTTGGGCCAACACTACAAGCCCATCCTGGCTCACACCCAGAAACCCATGAGGTTAAATTACAGTTCTTGTTAGGTTTTAAGTAATTTGCACTCTTGGATTTTTCAAAGAAATTGTTGAAGTAGAACTTCATTTCTGCTGCTGTACACAAGCGCCGTGTAACGTCTCCTGTTGAACCATCAAAACAACCAGGTAAAATAAATTAAATATTCACTTCTGCCACCCTTAAATCTTTCAGCCACTCTAAGCTAGATATAATGAAGCAAAACAAACATCTACATTTGATTGCCAAGACACAAACAAAAATATTTTGAATTTGTCCATTTCCTAAGAACCAGACAGAGTAAGATTCACTCTTCCTTCTAATTACAAGTACTTATACCTTTAGTCTTTTGAATGCAAGAAGATAAGAATTCCACATTGGATGAAAAATTAAAAGCCTGGTTCCAATCAGCTTCCCTGAAACACAAATTTTATATCAAACTCTAAGAATAGTCTAACTGAGCAATTGCAATAAGTAAAAGAATAAACATTATGCTTCCATTGGTTAAGTTGAGTTGACTTCTCACAACCCATTCTTATAATTCAATCACCCTCTTCTTCTTCTTTTTTTCAAGCATTTTCTCAGCAACAAAACAGAGAGAGTAAAGTGAATAAAGCTTACGGGTCCTTTATGCAGAAGCTGGAACGATTGCTAATCTGTCGACTGAGAACTGCTGTGACATTGGATATGCGGCCATAGAGAATCTGGGTGATGAAAGGAAGAACAGCAGGGTTGTCAATTTGATCATTGTCACCAACATCTTGGCACTGAACCAATTGCCCCCAATGCACCAAGCTCAAAGCTAAGATGCCAAGTGAAGCAAATGTGCAAAAGTTGGTGCCTTTGAGGCTCTTGGAGCTCATTATGAAAAAGAAATACCAAATTTCCAATGGGTTTTGGAAATTTAGTGGAAAAAAGTGAAAGGAAAAGAAAAGAATTCTGGGTTTAACCCTTTTTCTCTGCTTAATAGACTGACCCAAAATAAAAAAAAAGGAACTTGGTTTGAGATCTGAATGCGGGCTTGGAAACAAACTGAAGGGGTTTTCTGGTTAATGGGTGATAGAGAGAAAGAGAGAAACAGAGGCCATGTGCTTTGGGGTTGAGTTCAGAAGTCAAATGGAAGAGAGCTTGAGAGAAGCAAAGAACGTGGGTGAGAGAAGGAAGAAGAAGATCCAATGAGTGGGGCCTGAGAAAGAAGTAAATAAACGCACGTCCGAACTAGTTTGCTTCGTGCCGGCTTTCAGACATGTCTTGTCTTATTTTCTGTGTCTGAAACAATTCCGCGGGACAAAGGTTTGAGGGTTTTGTTAAATCTATGCGCCATTTGGGAGGCAAAAACGTGTTTCACTAATACAAATAATTATACAAATAATTTACAATAATTAATTGCATTAAGTTATTAAATATTACTTTTATATAACTTAAAATTTTCTTTTCCTGATTTACTCATCTAATTTAGAACTTCTGAATTACTAATGGAGTTCCCAAAACATGGGGTTTACAGCTAATACACATAGAAATACACCAATAAGCTTAAATTCCTTAATTAAAATATTTTTTTAGGGTAATTTTATAAGGCCATGTTGCATGATTTATGCATCTTTCATAAAATGGAACCTACTTTTACATGTGTGTCATCATCCTTACTTGTGGTACAAATAATAGAATTATACAAGAAAAAGAGAGCCAATCACAGTTGTTTCTTTTGCCCTTTTGATTAATTTATGACAAAAAAATATATATATTAGAATAGGAAATCAATAAAAATAAAATTATTACCTGTTAAGAATATATTTTCTAAGAAGAAACGTGAATTATAGGTTTTCCTTTTGGCACAGGCCTGTATTAGTTGCGATAAGCCTATCTTACTTTTGTTGGGCTCTATATTAGGCCTTTGATCAAGAGTCAAGAAAAAGGTACTCAAGCCCAGTCCATAATTATAGATATTTTTAAGTATAAATTAAGGAAATAGTTCATCACTATTGCCCAATAAAATAGGCTTATGCCTGCATATCAGAGGTAGAATCGGAAATATCAGGTTCGAATTTTAGTGGCATCTTAGTTTTGTGTGTGAGAAATCTCTATTCTGTAATTTAAATGATCACTTGTACTTTTTAGTGGTAACTGATAAGTCAATTTGTCCCTCTCATATTGGTTGGGAATCAAATTATACATTAATAACATGCGCACGAACGTGCAGATTATATATTTGCTTATGCAAAGAGATGAAGTAGAATATTCATTAATCTGGATTAGGTTATAGAAAATTGCAATGAAACTAAATTTTAAATGTAATTGTCAGAAGGATCCTCTAGTGTATCAGAGCGGCCCACCCAATGACACAGAAGTACAGCCTCTAGGCCAACTCTACCTTCCTCCTCAATCTTGAGGGTATCCAATATATACTCTCCCTTCATTCTCCTTAACGAATAACAAAAACAAAAACAAAAACTAATTTATTATTCAAATAATTGACAGAAACATAAGCTTGATGAATGTGCCTTATCGTTAATTTGCTATGATTTTCAACCAAAACATAAGCCAAGTTTACACATTTCAAGATTTTTTTTTTTTTTTTTGGACGAAACACATTTCAAGATATTGGTTCTGCTTTTAGACCCAAAAAAAAAATTAAAAATTTGGTTCTGCTTTAGTTTTAAGATACAAAATGAGCAGCTTAAACATGTTGATTTGCATTACAGACGCTTCCAACTTTCTGATTTGACACTATTTTCTGTTTTTGGGTCAAATGATTTGTTACTGTTAAGAAAATTGAAAGCATGATAAATCCATATATTATATATGTGGCTGGAATTAAAGAATTGGCAGCATTTGGGCATGTTCATGCAGCTTCTAGAAGTAGATTTATTCTAACTTCTGAACCTTGGGATGTTTTATGGGCTAAGCTACCCCACAGAATCAAGCAATTTTGGGGTGTGTGGTCTCCAACTTGCAACAACCTCTCTTTGTAAAAACAAGCATTTAAATATACAACACATATTATTATAAACTGTGCAGATGATGACTGGTTCTTCTTCTTTTGCTGCTTTTGCTAGCATGATGACTCGTTCTTTGAGCAACCTACTTTAAAGTTCACACCTTTTCTTTAAAACAAAGCTATCCATCCATCTCTTAATCTTCTCACTCGGTATTCGCTTTCATACATAACTTTCTTCCCCTACAAATACAATACAATCTCTCTTTTTTTAATATTTGGGTATCTTTTGCTCTCACCCTTTACCAATATTTGTCTGTCTTTTGCTCTCTCTATCTCTCTCTCCCTCTCTCTCTCCCGCTCTCTCAATATTTTTTTTTGTTTTTTGTTTTATTTTTTCCATTGGGGTGCTTAGTTGTTGAGCTAGACCCCAGCTGCCTTGTATTGACTTGCCTTAGATCATGGAGTGCTCGTTGTTCCCTTGGATGCTCTTAAGCCTTTTTGCAGGATCCCAGGTCTCTCTTTAGAAGGACCAAGACTAACTGCATGGGGTGGCAAATTATTCCTGCAATGATATCTGTAGGGCTTGAACAACATATGTGAGAGGTGAGTTCTCTTTGTGTACTTGAATTCTGTTTTGGCGAGTGAATTGACCTTTTTTTTACCTTATGCATGCCAATGAATTTTACTGTTTATGAGAATTCATTTGACTGGAAATGAAATGAGATTCTGGGTCTTGATGATAGTTTCCCCAATAATTTGATTCTTAGATTTTTATCTTGGTTCGACTTTTTTCTTCTTTTGCCTTAATGTTTTGTCTCAAATAAAGGATTTGTGCAAATTTGACCAGAGTCAGTACATGAATGCTTAAAGATAAGGTCTGAGGAAGTTTCTGGTATATGAGATGAAAATTTAGGCTGTGTTAGGTATTAATTTCATAATTAGACTGTTTGATTAGGTATTGTAAATATATAAAATTTCTGGGGAAATATTTTGGATATATAGGAAAAAGAGAGAGTTGTGAGAGCAATTGGCAGATCAAAGTTTTCAAAGCCTTTTCTACCTTTATGGTGAAATTATTGAAACATTTAATTTAAGTTTAAGATATGAATGTTTTCTAATTGAATGTATGAAGAGCAAATTTTGGGTATAGTCCATTTGAATTTTCATTAACACCCGGGGTTTTCTTCTTTTTTATATGTGAAATTCTTAAGATATGACAACAATTGTGTTTGTCTAATGCAGTGAGGCCATCAGCTTTCTGCAGGCAATGAAGTGTTTTTATTTCTACAACAAAGAGAAGAATGATGAAGCAAAGACTACGAAGTCTACTTCTACTCGTTCCACTTCCCCTTTCTTTTCACTTGATCGTGACCCAAGAAAATCTGGTTCTGAGTCTAATTCTCAGAATGCCACAGAATTTAGCACAGCATCCTCTGCCAAGTCATTTGCAGCATTGTCGCAGCGACAGAGTAATCTCCGAGAATTCACATGCTCAGAGTTAAAAGCAGCAACAAAGAATTTTAGTCTCTCCCTCATGCTTGGAGAGGGTGGGTTTGGTGGTGTGTATAGGGGTGTCATCCGGACCACAGAAGATCCACATAAAAAGATAGATGTTGCTGTTAAACAACTGAGTAAAAGGGGATTTCAGGCAAGTCTTCTTCTCTGTGTTGATACCAGGTCCAAACCTAGCATAGTCTACAGTTGCTAATTTAACGGTGAGAGTAAAAAATTCTGATCTGGTAACTGTGACAGGAACTATTGCACTAGTTGACTTAAAAATAAGAAAGTTCTGAGAAATAGCAAACTAATGGTTGTTGAGGAGAAATTAGCAAGGATTATTTATGTAAGGAAATTTACGCTTTCTTGAAAATTGTCAAAACTCAAGCTTGGAAAAATTCATCACTATAATGGTAATCGTGTCCCAGTTGTCATTTGTCATGTTATAAATCCCTAGTTCTGCTACTTTTAGTAAGTCAACCCGAAGAAAACTTTTTATGGCTTCCTATAAATCTACAAACAAGATAAGCGAAGTGTAAACAGCCAGTAGGATCATTTTTCTGAAAAAGAACAAAAAGGAATTGCTGTCACATATTTTCTTTTTCCTCTTTTTTTTTCAGTTCTAATTCGCACTATGCAACGCATTTCTTTAGATGTTTGATTTTTTTTTTACTGTCTTTTGTCTAACAGGGCCATAAAGAGTGGGTGACTGAAGTGAATGTTTTAGGGGTTGTTGAACATGCTAATCTTGTCAAACTGTTAGGCTACTGTGCTGAGGATGATGAAAGAGGGATCCAGCGGCTCCTTGTATATGAATATATGCCCAACAGGAGTGTGCAGGATCACTTATCAAGCCGATTTCAGATAGCTCTTCCATGGGGTACAAGAATGAAAATCGCCCAGGATGCTGCTCGTGGCTTAGCATACCTCCATGAAGGGATGGAATTTCAGGTAATTTCTAATCCTTGGTGCAGTTATAGTAAAGATTGGGGTGTCTCACATAGAACATATACATTTTCTCTAGTAGGTTGGTATTTATTAAGTGGTGTAGTTTTTGTCAACACCAGTTCATTTCCATACAGAAATCTAATGGCAAAGCCACAATTTCCTTTTTGGGATCAATTTGGTCTGTTATTTGCTATATGCAATATGATTTTCAAGTGAAAATTAAGTACAGATCCTTGTTAAATTTTTTCTTCAATTTTGCAACAAGATTAACAGGAGAATAAGGCTATAATGTAAAGTCTCTCTGATTGAAAGATAGGACTATCTAAACTGTGACCGGGACACAAGGGAGCTGTATATCTTTTCAGGCTATAACTCTTCATTGGATGAGTTTCCATTCTGCTTCCACTGATTCTCATATTTTGTTTTTTCTTAAATTATTATCTGTGGCGCAGATTATCTTTAGGGATTTCAAGTCTTCAAACATACTTTTAGATGAACAATGGAATGCCAAGTTATCTGACTTCGGATTGGCTAGACTTGGGCCTTCAGATGGATTGAGCCACGTCTCTACTGCGGTATGTTTATATATATACCTTAGAATCTTTTCTCAAATATTAATTAAGCATGTCAAGAAGGTGAAACAGATAGCTCAATTATGCATGCAAAGTTGATTCAGCAATATGTAACAGTTGCAAATAGACTGTACATATCCTACAAAAGTTTGACATTGTCATGAACTTACACATTAATTAAAGGTCTCTCTGGTTTCTTTCTAACTTTTCAAGTTACTTTCCAATTGGTCATCTTTCAACAGGTTGTTGGAACAGTAGGGTATGCAGCTCCTGAATACATTCAAACCGGACATCTCACATCTAAAAGTGATGTATGGAGCTATGGAGTTTTCCTTTATGAACTCATCACAGGCAGACGACCTGTGGACAGAAACCGACCCAAGAATGAGCAAAAACTCTTGGAATGGGTGAGGCCACACCTCTCTTCAGATCCAAAGAAGTTCCAATTGATTTTGGATCCAAGGCTTGAAGGGAACTATTCCCTCAAGGCTGCCCAAAAACTAGCAGCTGTGGCCAGCCGGTGCTTGGTGCGACAGCCTAGATCACGCCCGAAAATGAGCGAAGTCGTGGAAATGTTGAACCGAATTATGGAGACAACGGATATGGGAAGCCCCGAACTCCCTCTGAAGGGTGTGGACTCCAAAGATGAATATTACAGAGAGTCCAAAAGAGAGGTTTTAAGAAGGATGTTTGTGGATCCATTGATTGGAGAGAATGGTTGCTTAAATTGGCAAACATGGAGACCAAAGCTTGTGAACACATGTTGAAAGATGTTGGGGAGCACAATGGGAATTGGCATAATTGGTTTGATCATGCAATGGCTCATCTAACAATGATGCTTCTTTTTTTGCTTTTTCTTTTTTACAGGATCATGTAATGGCAATCTGCTGTGTTTAGTGTGGAAACAGAAGTGTAAAATCCTCATTGGCTGATGCCTATAGATAACATTTTATATCAAAATTCTCAAATTAGGTTAATTATATCAAAATGCCTATAGATAACATTCTATACAATTCCTGCTCAAACTTCCTTGACTGCTATAATTCAAAGGGGTTGGAGGGCTATGCCACGGTCATATTCTTAAAACTCTAGAGCAGTTTAGAATATTGCTTCGTAAAAAAAACTCTAGAGCAGTTTAGAATATTGCTTCGTAAAAATAAAATAAAAAACCGACTTTTCAAAATTGCCCAATTTCCCTAATAGGAATTGAACAAGGTCCCTTTAATTTATTATATTGTTTAATAAGTCCCATAGCTTATTTGAAAGAGCCAAGAGGAGGAGTGCAGTGGGTGAGGGGAAGCTCAAGTATCAGCCATTGTTGATCAAGAACAGTTCTCGTAGAGTTGGACATGAAAAGTTAAAATTAATTTATGAGTTACGAAAACACCTTTTTAGGTGCTTCATAAGGAAGAACTTCCAAATGTTTATTTAGACAGAACGTAAATTTGTAATAAAAATTTCAACATCCTTGTACTAAAAGTAGTTCCAATAAAAGCACTTATGAGGATAACTTGTTTCAGAAGCACTTTCAAATGAAGCAATTGCGTTTTGAGAATTTTTTATCAAATGACGGCAATTTTGAGTTATTAAAAATTTAAACATAAGGGTCTTCTAAAGAAAATTACATTATTCTTTTCTTTTTTTTGTCGATAATTACACTGTTTTCTTTTATATAATTTTTTTTAATATTAAATATTGCCAGCTTTTGAATTTAAGGGTATACTGGAGAGTTTTCAAAAAAAAAAAAAAATTTCAATTGTAGTATGATTTAAAGACAACTGGACTAATTAAAAATGGCCAATACAATGATAAAGAAAAAGAAGAACATCAACTTTTCTTTTTCTTTGACAAAGCAATATTCTAAACTATTCTATAATGTATGGAAATGGGAATCGACCTCAAGTGCAAGGAGGCGAACACATAAATCTTGGCCAACTGACATATTGTCACATTCCAGGATCAGGTCCGCCGTAGCACAATATTGTCAGCTTTGGACCTCCCTCTCTGCCCTCACGGTTTTGTTTCTGGGAACTCACGAATAACTTCCCAGTAGGTCACCCATCTTGGGATTGCTCTAGCCCCCAACTCGCTTAACTTCGGAGTTCCCATGATTCCGAAGCCAGTGAACTCCCAAAAGGCCTCATACTAGATGGAGGCGAACATGTACATATAAGGCACATCACCCCCTCTCTGTTGGTCGATGTGGGATGTTACACATATCCCACGTCTTCAAGATCAAATATTTTATAATTTGATTGAAGGAGCCACACTTACAATAATGAGAAATTTATTGCCTCTTATATTAATAATTTATCTTTTAAAATTTAATTAGTACATATATTGACTAGCCTCTCCGCACGAGCTTCCGCGCTTGCGAGATACTTTTTTTTTTTAATTTTTTAATTCATTTTAGAATTTAAAAAGATAATGGGTAGTTGTGTTCTATAAAAATAGAATCCATTATCTGATTTTTCTTTTAATTTTTTTAATATAAAAAAGTGTGAATTTATCATATTATCCTCATTTAATTAATAATTTCAATTCTTAATGTTTGCATTAACCAATGACATTTTATGGTATTTTGAATGTGTTTACTATTCTCTGTTTTTTGTTTTATATATACTAGCCTCTTCGCACGCGCTTATGCACCTGTGAGAGACTTTAAAAAAAAAAAAATTTATTTTAGAATTAAAAAATATAATTGGTAGTTGTGTTTCATAAAAATAGAATCCATTTTCTGAATTTTCTTTTAATTTTAATTTTTTTAATATAAAAAAGTATAAATTTACTATATTATCCTTATTTAATTAATAATTTCTGATAATTTTACATGTGCTGATAATTTAAGTAAATTCATCAAAATTAAAAATCACAATAATTCGTCTAATAATTTGTCCAACACGACTCTTTCTCTAGAATTTGAGACTTCAATCGGAGTCATGCTACAATTTATATTTTTTTCAGGTTTGTATTTTTTTACTCTTTTTTATGGAACCAAAGAAGCTCACGCATCCATCTCTGTCCCAAATCGTTCCTCAGCAACACGAAACGTGGCACAATCACCGGCAAACCGGCAAACCCCGGTTACCAATGCCCGCGTGCCAAATCATCATGGCCCGGTTTCCGTATGTACAAAAGCGAGCCATGTATAAATACCAACGGGATTTTCGATTTTCAAGAAAGCACGCTGAATCCAACGGCGGTTTCTAATTTCAACAAACTTCTTATCTTCCTCCCTTTTATTCTTTTCCTTATTGGCAAGGTGGCGCGTGCCTTCTCAACGTCTTTTCAGTTAGTCTCCAACATTGTTTTGTCCCCAAAGACCATTCTTTTGATTTAAAGGTTCGTATACATCACCATTGTTAGTTTAAATTAATTGTTTTTCATGTTGGTTTTCTGTATCTGGGTATGTTGTAAATTCAAAGTTTGAACCTTTTCTGGATTTGATTTCAGTAGTTGAGAAGATTCAAAAGTTTGGACTTTAGGGTTTTGTGAGTTGTGAAATTTCAGTTTTCTTAACGTTATGTGCAGTGTATTTGTCCCCTTTTTTCTTTCCTCTGTTGGGTTGATTTAAAGTTCAGATTTTTGAATTGATAATGGGGTTAGTGATTGAAATTTGAGATAGATTTTAAGGCAATTGATTATATGATTATGAACTTTAGATGTTATGATTGCAAATTTAGTTTCCAATGTATATGATTATACCCTTTACTCGTTTCTTTTAGTTATTGAAATATGTTGGCCTTGCTAGGTTGCTTCTGGAAAAGCTGGAGTGTTGTTAAATGTTACACAGGCTCATGACATCGTATAAGCTTGATCCTGACGTTGTTCGCTGGGGTCTCCATCTCTTGGATGATGTTTGTACTCTTTCGAATGATAGTTCGCACAGTACTGTTACTCGTTATGACCAGGATTTTAGTCAAGTAGAGTATGTTAGAGAAGGTTATATTGAGCCTTGCATTGTGGAGAATGATGAGATTATAGCTCAGACGTACCAAGAAGAGTTATCGAGACTTGCTTCTGCAGAAGCATCAGGAGTTTCTGGTTGTGAAGATGGGAATTTGGAGTCGTCAATTCTAGGGCAGGATTGGCTTGGTCCTTCAAACAGACACAGTGGTTCTGGTATGGGATTCTGTAAACAGACATTCTCATTTAGTTCTATGATTTGAGGTTGCATACTTGTTCTCCTTATTGTAATGAAATGCTGGAAATTTGTAGGGCTTCAAAATGTTCAGGATACAGTGAATGATTTTGACATAAAGATAGACACTGATGATTATAGAGATAAAGAAAATGAGGCAGATGATCCTAGGAGACACGGAAGCGAGGAAGCAAACGATCATAGTGAAGGAGAATGCTCTGTCAATAGGGAAGACTTCTTACATTCATTGGACATAACAGATGAATCTACTCTTGATGGTGAAGTGGGGAGAAGATTGAATCAGTTGGTTTCTGTTCCTGTAAGTCTAGCTTTATGGAGTCGTCCTACTGGCATTTTACCATAGAAGATTACTTTTACTTGTGTTATCATCTTCTGGCCATCTATTGGAATATCCTTTTTCAGTGCTTTTGGTTATTCGGTCCAGCCACGCTGATTGTGTTTTGTATTGCATCCTGCCAATACAAAATTTTCATTGTCTTCCCCTTTATTGCATTAAACTGGGAGTCTTACTATCATCATTTCTTTTTTTGCAGCATATTCCTAGAACGAATGAGAACATACCCTCAGCTGATGAAGAGATATCAGATCATCAAAGGCTGTTAGAAAGGTATTTATGTTATTTCCCCTGAGGGTTATGTACTTAATTTGTATGAGTAATGAATCATCTCCAGGGATATATTTTCAAATTTTATTTTGTCTATTATTTTATTTCATAGATTTACTTGTCATTTTCTTAAGCTATCAAAATGGATTTAATTGAGGTATGTTGAGCTATAGCATGATATTGATCTAGATCCTCTATATTGATGGATTCACTGCTGACTATGAAGTTGTATTGCTGGTGATTTTTCTAAATTGATTTCTATCATCTCTACCCTTTAAAAACACTATTAAAAAGCGCTCGTCATAACTTTGGAAGGCCTATACTGGCGATTAGATTATTGTGTTTGGCACGCAATCAGAGGTAACTTGAAATAAGCTTTAAAAATTAAAATACTGAAATTAGCAGTTAAAATTAGAACACCAAAATAGCAGTTGTGATACGTGATTCTTGGAGGGACGGAGTAGAGGAGCATATACATAGATTTAGGGGAGACAATAATTTGTAGTTAAGGAATGTTTGGACAGTAGTGCATGGTTTCGTTCTTCTGCTGTATTGGCATCAAGCGCATAACTTCAGTGTGTTTGTATGCCACGCCAGCAGTTGTGACTTTGCTTTCAATTACATTTTTATTGTCATTTTCTTTTGTTCTCAAATTGGATGTTCAGTGTGTTTTGTTTCCTGTTGGTTTGATTTTAACTATAGGGAAAGTTTCAGAAATGTTTCACTTCGGATGTCTGATATTTTCCTTCTTCTTTAATAGACTGCAGTTGTATGATTTGGTGGAGTGTAAGGTCCAGGGAGATGGTAACTGTCAGGTTGGTCTTATTTTGAACTTTACTTTTAAATTCTTGTACTTGAAACTCTCAAAGTTATTGCATAACTACATGTTTTTCCCCATTGTTGTGACACAAATAGCATTGTTCTATCAGTTTCTTTCTCTTTAATGAGCAAAATTTTATTGGACTGCATCAAAAGGTTTATTCACTGTGAATAATCTGATGAGATTTAGAATGATGCATACCTATGATTTGTGAATTGTCCCGTCTAGCCTTGCTGATGTTGCTTTCTAAATTGTAACTGCACCGCTTGAATTTATGTATTCTACATGTAATTTAGAGTGGAAACATATCTCACTATATGTTATGTGTGTTATGACTTACAGTCCTTTACTCAGTTAACTTGATAGTGTCTCACTAGCATCTTATTTCCCCAGTTTCGTGCTTTATCAGATCAACTCTATCGTTCTCCTGAGTACCATGGTGTTGTAAGAGAACAAGTTAATCAACAGGTTGGTTGGCATTTCAGTAAATGAATCTTTAGGAGTTTAATTTAAATTATTTTTGTGATGCTGTTGCAGATGATATCCAATATGCTTATTGTTTGTACTCATCTTTTGATCTCTCAGCTCAGGAGTCACCCAGAAATGTATGAGGCTTATGTTCCTATGGCTTATACTGATTATCTAAAGAAGATGAGCAAGTATTGTGCTAATCTCTTAATTTATTCATGTTTTCCCATCTTACATCTATTTTTTGCTTATTTAGTTGTTCTTCTTGATGTGGTTGAACCAGGAGTGGTGAATGGGGTGATCATGTCACATTGCAGGCTGCGGCAGATTCGGTATGAGGCACTATTTTTTTGCTAGGTTTTTTTATTAAAAGCATATCTGTTGTCTAGTTGCTAAATTGGTGCATAGATTGAACTTTTACATGAGTAACTTTCCTGATTGAGGAGGTGGGCTCTTCTAAGTTTATTCTAGAGGGAATTTCCATTCTCAATTTTGCTGCTTATTTCTTCCTGTATGACGAGATGTTACACAAGTTCCAGTTCTTAGTATTCTATGTAAAAGTGCAACAAGATGGTAATGATTTTATGGGACCCATTTAAATTTGCATATCTTGTGTCTGTAGGTCATACACTAGGCAATATTTTTGTTTGTTTGTTGCATGAAATATTACTTTCTTTTTTTTTTTTTTTTTTTTGCCCTTTCATTTTTCTCTCACTTGTTCATGAAAAGTTGGGCCAAGTGGTCTATTGCTTTCACGAGGTGTCGTCAGTTCATATAGAAACTTAGTCATTTCAATTTGTCATTGATATGTCTATCATTGTACTGCAGTATGGTGTCAAGGTATTTGTAATAACTTCCTTCAGGGATACATGTTACATTGAGATCCTTCCGCATGTTCAAAAGTCCAACAGAGGTAACAGTACTTCCATCATTTTTCCCCCCGCTCCCAAATTTTCACCGTATTCGGTCATGTTTTACTTATAGTTTACTTGTGCAGTTATTTGCTTGAGCTTTTGGGCTGAGGTGCACTACAATTCAATTTATCCTGAAGGAGGTAAATGAAAAGAAGCTTTTTCTTTTTACATACATCTACTGGGAAAACAAGAGGACAAATGAAATGATATTACTGGCATTAACAGTTGTTTCGTTTTCATCTTCAGAACTTCCTCCACCAAGCTTAAAGAAAAAGAAGAAATGGTGGAATTTTTGAAGCCAGGAATCCACATTTGCGACGAGTCTCACTTTTCTGTTGAGGAAGCTTCAGTTTTGATGTGTTCTATCCTTTGCTTGTCCCCGTTGGTGCAGCATTTGCACTGAAACCTGATGCTTTTCTGCCTTGGCTCCTTCGTACATATTACACATTCTTTGATTTAGATTTTTTTTATTTTATATTTACATACCTTCGATAATGTTTGAGGATTTGCCATTCCTTTTTGTACATAAATAATTACTTAATAATTTCAGCGTTTCTAATTTCTAGTTCTTATAAGCTTTCTGTCCATTCATCTGTGTCCACCTTCGAATTATGTCGAGAAATGTTTTCTGTGTATTTTTTAATTTTTAAATAGTATTGGATTTGTTGAGGAATGCTAAGAGCAACTCTACCCATTTGTCCTTTGTCATGGTAAGGTGGCAAGGTGGGTTTTGGAGAGGGGGGTAGGGCAGCCACTATTCATGTGAATAGTAGTTGCCCTTGCAAAAAGCAATGTGTGTTTCCACCCATTGTCATGGCAAAGGGCAATTACTATAAATTTTTTTTGCTTTTTTCACAAATTTTTTTACCTTAATAATTAATTTGGATAATATTTTCGGATTCCTATGTGTCACGATTATTCATATCTCATAATTTGATAAAATTTCCGGATAAGATTTTTGGGTTCAAATTTCAGCTACATTTCAAAATTCAAAATTCAGATATATTTCAAAATTCAAATACATTTCAAATTTCAAATTTCGGATGAATTTCAAAATTCAAAATTCAAATAAAATTTTCATCCTCTAAAATCGAGCCACGTGTCATCTCTATCTGGCCAAAATTTTCTATAAAACAGGAGGCTCAGCTCATATCTCTCACACCACATCTTTCTATATTTTCATTTCTCATAGTTTAGAATTCATACTCCATTCTCAATGGAAGACATGAGGAGATGCTTGGAGAGGCAAGAGCGAGAAACAAATGAGAGAAGTCGTAGACGGGCTGAAAGGCAAAGGTTGCAGAGAGAAGAAGATCAACAAGTTGTCATAGCAGTGGCTTTGCTTGATGAAGAGAATCAAGGTCGCCGTCGTGGTTCACAAGTCTATTGTGGCCCGAATATCGACAAACATAGGCATTCTCGGGGTAAGAATCTTTTGGAATATTATTTTATCTCAACTTCTTTGTACTCTGATGTTGATTTTCGAAGGCAGTATAGAATGCAACCCCATTTGTTCAAGAAAGTCATGCATGATATTTGCAATTATGATGCATACTTTGTTCAAAAATGTGATGCTGCTGGGGTTTTGGGACTTCTTCCGGAGCAAAAGCTTACAGCTATTATACGAATGTTGGCGTATGATTCATCTGCTGATCAGGTGGATGAGATTGCCCAGATGGGGAAGTCCACTATGTTGGAGGCCTTGGTAAGATTTTGTGATGCAGTCAAAACTCTGTACACTAGGGACTACCTGTGCAGACCTATGTCCAGGGACCTCCAACGGCTTCTACAAAAAGCCGAAGCTCGAGAATTTCCAGGAATGATTGGTAGCATCGACTGCATGCACTGGCAATGGAAGAATTGCCTAACTGCCTGGCAAGGAAATTACGGAAATAGAAAAGGCAAAAAAAGTATCATCCTTGAAGCCGTTATTGGTTTCAATACATGGGTTTGGCATGCCTTCTTCAGAGTTGCCGGATCTCAAAATGACCTTAACATGCTGAGTCAATCCTCGGTTTTCAACGATGTTTTGAGAGGTAAAGCCCCGAATATCACCTATCAAATCAACAATATCGTCTACCAGACATGGTATTATCTAGCAGACGGCATCTACCAGAGGTGAACCACATTTGTCAAATCCATTCCGAATCCCCGATCCTAGAAGCAAAGATTATTTGCTTCATATCAAGAAGGATACAGGAAAGATGTCGAAAGGTGTTTTGGCATCCTCCAAGCTCGGTGGTTGATTATTCGCGCGTATGTTTGATGAGGAGGTGCTGAGAAGTATTATGATGACTTGCATCATCCTCCATAATATGATTGTGGAGGATGAGTATGATTACGATGCTGCAGAGGTCTACGAACCGGATCCCATGAATACGACCTTGACATGAATTTATGAAAGGCCCATGGGGCCAAGTGGAGAACCATTGGAGCAGGAATCATTGGTTAGGGATGATCGTTTCATGATCCGTATGCTAGATCAATATACAAGGATGCAATCTTCTTATATTCATGAAAGGCGTCAAGTTGACTTGATGAAGCATCTATGGGCGGTGAAAGGCAATGACGGTGAATGTCTTTGGTTAGGTTTTATTTAGTTATGGTTTGGTTGTGTTGTTTTTTATTTATTGTGGTTTGGTTGTATTTTTATTTTTATTTTTTATTATGCTTTGGTTGTGGTTTTCCCTTTTAATTATGTTTTGTTTGATGTATGGAATATGTTGAATAAAAATGTATTTTATTGAATGCATTGTTTATTAAATAAAGAAAGCCAATACAAGTCATTAAGAATTACTACTACTAAAATAAAATACATGAATTACAACAACTTTAATACAAAACATGAAAAATACAAATAAATAAAAGGTATGCCAACTAATTTAATGGTTTTGATCATTTAACCAATCCGTGTTGCTAGGTCCATCGTCACGGAAAAGTCTTCTTCTCATAACATCCCTTCGTTCAAGCTTCCAAAATTATTTTGTTTCAGGGAACATATGGCTTGTATCCATGGCCATGGTTTCCCGATCTATCTTCTCAATGTGTTGTTTGCGCAAATACTCCATTTCTTGTACATATTCTGCTCGAATTGCCATCTCATTCTCTTGGTGTTTCTTCTCAATTTCAATTCTTATGGCGCTCTGCCTTGCAATTTCCTCCTAAAATTTTGATGTATTAGTGCTAGAATTATTCTCTTTCTTTGCCTTCGCAGCCTTTCGACCAATAGTCCTCGGCTCCTTTTCGATGGGTGAGTCTGGACTCAGAGGGGAATCGAAAGGTGAATCCGATGACGTTGAATCATGGAGTGGCGTCTCGTTTAACATAACGGGGGGACCCGTGGGAATAATTTTCAAGCGCTTGCAATTTTTCACCACCTCCCAACATTCATGATGGTTGAAATTTTTTTTGCCTTGCCCAATTGCACCAAACCACATATGTGCTTTCATAATCTATGAACAAAAAAAAAATGAAAATGCAAGAAATATTTAAAATATATTGGAAATGCAAGTAACATAAAAAAAAAATAATGGAAATGCAATTAACCTTACAAATATATTGGAAATGCAACAAATATTAACAAAATATTATTTATGCAAGAAATGTTAAGAAAAAAATTGGAAATGCAAGAAATATTAACAAAATATTGAAAATGCAAGAAACATTTAAAAAATATATATTAGGACATTAAACTTAATGTAACGAAAATTACAAAATATTTACCTCGCCACTAAGATTTTCCCCGCTTCTATGGTTGTCCCTCGCTTTTGCCAAGGCATCTCTCCATTTTGCCAACTCTTTATTGAGAATTTTCCACCTACTAGACAATGTCATTTCTGTACGAGTCGACCCCGGAATTCTTTTACAAAATTCGGCATGAATTTTTTTCCACATATGACAAAATTTCATCTCATTGCCTGACACGGGACAATGACTAATTTGGAGCCAAGACTCAGACAAGAAAACATCTTCCATGGTGCTCCACGCTCCTCCGGTTTTGATAGAAGAAGCCATAAAGATAAGAAATAAAAATACAATTTGAAAGAGAATAAAATGTTGAGTAAGAGTGAATAATAGTAGAAGTAGAAGAAAATGTATGAGGATTGGTGTTGAAAGTGAAGGGTATGTAAGAAGGTTTATTACATTAAACCTACTAAAGTGATCTTCTAATCTAATTAGGATTACTAAGACTTATTGTTTATTAGGAACTCAAAACCTATCTCGATTAGGCAAGCCTCAAACAGTGTTCAATAAGGATAATGAAGGCTTAAGGGTTCCTAGTTTCACAAGGATTGAAATGGATTAATCCTATAGCATGAAGGATATCTCTAAGTGTTTCTTGATGGGCAAGACACTTAGAGAGATGCATATAAATAGAAGGCTCCCTCCTAGATCCGAATAACACAACACAGCTAAACAGAAATTCACCCATCAGAGTTATAGCTATAAGGATCGGATCCTCAGGAGAAGAACTTCTATCCCTTGCGCTGCCAATCTGTTCCAGCACCATCCAGTTCTTGCGCCAGCACCATG